GAGAAATATGTTCACCGCCAAGCAGAGGTCGTGGGGAAGGAGGGTCTGTGTAATCAGGAAGGATGTGACCAATAAACCAATAAACTGACCAATAAACCCAGCAGCCAAGAGGAAAGAAACAAGCTGAGAGGGTGGACCGAGGGGAGGGCTATGCTAAACAGAAGACCTTTAAATTTCCATTGTGCTCCAAAGTGAAGAGACTGGACCTTGTCTTGGAATTGTGACAAACGACCTTTAACTCCCCAAAGGGTGGGATGGAGCAGCCGCCCTCATGAACCACAGGCTTGGACAGCGAGTCTTTCTGGTGAGCTGGCCCTCGGCAATTCTTTTACTAAAGCATAGAGGCATTTCCCTCCTCCTGGGACAGTCTCTCAGGAAGCTCTGAGGGCTGTTCTGAGGAGATAAGGAGGGGCGGGCAGTGTGTACGTGACTTGGGGGAAGGAGGACACGCAACCGGCACACAGCTCCGTACAGGTTACTGCTCTTCAGGAGATATCTTGGTTAGCGGTTTTAGTGCTTTTCTGAGTATGGGAGGATGCAAGAAACTGGGCTCATAAAAATGTCTCCTGAAAATATCTACGTTTCTGAGGGCCAGTTCCCAGAGCACAAAGAACCTCATCCTGACCTTTTCCATGACTTCCTCTCAGAGCAGATTTTAGGTCAGTGAGCTGCAGTGGCTTGTGACTTGATTCTTGTAGAACCTGGTGGTGGGTAACATTCTTTATCACGAAATCTGCTCTGCTTCTGTCTTAATTTCAATCCAGATTTGGGAGAAATTTTGACCATTTTGTCCCAGGGTGCTAGGAATGCTCACTCCCAGGATGGGCAAGGATTTCATTGATAAACCACTAAAAGTGCAATTACTCACCTAGTCCTGTTAATAGGAGCCAAATCATCTGGACCACCTGTCTTACTAGTCCCTCAGGCTCTGGGAAGTGGCTCCCTCTTGTTGCTTCTTCCCCAGTCTAGTCACACTGTTACAATCATGGTTGTTATAGAACTGTATATGAGGTCAAGTGTTTCAGTTAGCTGGTTATTATCATTTTTGTCAGAGGCTCAGGGACACATTTGTTAATGTAAGAAACGATGCTCTTCTAAAATGGGAGAATACAGTAATATAGCTAATGACATTAATAAAATCATAGGTAGACAGTATCATATAAAGATACAAGGCTGAGGTTAGAGGAATAAAAATTGATCTTTGTTGGGAGCCGCCAGGATGCACCCAGTCTGTGGTCATGGAACGAGAGAGGAACCTGCAAGGCAGCTCTTCCTCACATGGTGCTGCCCCGGGGGCCCAATATGTCCCCTCCGGAGCTGCAGGGACAAGAAAGGAACCTGCAAGGCAGCTCTTCCCCTCAAAGTTGTCCCAGGGACAAGGTCACTGGATGAGAAAGGAATCTGCAAGGCAGCTCTTCCCCTCGAGGTTGTCCCAGGGGCCCGGTATGTCCCTTTCTTCCTTCTGTCTTACTGTTGTTGGGCTTTCTATTAGTTTTTGGAAATGATAATATATAGTAATAAGGCCTCGCTGGAAAAGTCCAAGCCTTTTTGGAAAAGCTCAAGATTGCTCTGGCTCAGGACACGACCATAAACATCAAGTCATAAAAGAAAAGGCCACAGGTATAGTTTGGCTGCTTGCTTAAAAGATTATAATGTTCTAGAATAGAAAAGTAGAGGTATTTAGATTTAGAAGTAGATATACTGCTTTAGTTTACTTGCTCCTTGGTTGAAAGGGTTTTTACTATTGCTATTTCCTTGCTGCTATTTGTTCATTGTTTCCCTTTCTTTAAACAACATGAGATACTATGGGTATTTTTGTAAAATTAGAAAATGGGGTATATAGGATTTTAATAGAATATTTATTATATTAACCAGCTTTACTGCCATTATCTTACTATTAATAGAGGTGTTTTGCTGCTTTAGAGGTATTTTTGCTGTTTAATAGTCATTGTAAATTGAGATTTTGTGGTTTCAGGTAAAGAAAAATATAAGGTTTTTCTCATGGTACTATTTTCAGAAATGTCAAACATGTTACTGTGACCCTTCCCATGTATTGTTTTATTGTCCAAAGAATTTACACTATACCTGAGATTTGTGGAACATTGTTTTTGTTAGAGTGAGAATGTTAGGCCATTGAGGCAAGAAGACTATGTATGGGACATTTAAGTATAAATCCTATAAACGGAAATGTTCTAGATGAATGCTTAGGGGAAAAACATGGGAAAAAAAATATTGACGGAAGCACAAACCAATATCTGATGTAATATGTGGTGACTTAAGGGGGAGGTAACATTCATTCTATAAAAACTGAGCTATCCTAAAAAAAAAAAGCTACCTCTTCTACGCAACATCTTTGTGTGTGTGTGTCTTCTTCCTCGCCGACGCCACTCATCCCTTGGGTATTCCTGGTCCTGCCGGGGCTGGACCTCGGCAGATCTTTATGGTGGTTCAGGTATTTCTGCCCTTAGGAGGGCTGGTTAACACATACCGCAGATGCACACTGCACACTAGAGGGGAGGGGGGAGGTCAAAACAGTCAGAGAAGGCCTTTAAAATGTTTTTTGTCTTACCTGAAAACATTAATTTTATTTCATTGCTTCTTAAGATTTATCTGCGATGGGGACCACCTCCTGGAGCCCTCCCCATCCACCCCACCTTCCCGTGGGTGAAGATCACGTGCTTCATCCCAGTACAGGAGTGAGGGGCAGCAGTGGGGGTCCTCCCCTCCCCTCCCCCACAGCTCTGCTTGCCTGGCCCCTCTGGCCCTGGAGACACTAGCATGCTGGGCTCTGGGGCTTTGTGGCTGAGAGCAGGCGAGGAAGAAAGATTGTGGTGTCTTCCTGGCCGCCAGCTACTGTAGTCTGCTGGTCCCAATGCACATGTGAGCACAGACATACAGGCACATATACAGGCAAACACACACACTGGGTATGCATGCAGGGACAACATCTTTAAATACAGTCACCTAGGGTGGGGCCCTTTAAGAGCTAAGGGGACAGAAAGTCTAGTATTGGGGGCACAACTGCTAGTCATTTTGGGCTGGGCCATGTCCCTAGGTTCTCAGGAAATGTGGGAGTGCAGACACATTGGGAAGGGCTCCCAGAGATGGGGGTTTGGGTAAGAATAAAAATCTGCTCAGTTTTTCTGAGTTCTAAGAAAATTTGGGACAATTAGGCTATGGCTGGTTTGTTTTTTTTTTCTTTTATATTTGTACTGAGATTTTAAAAAGAACATTATAGATATGGTAGAAAGGACAAGCTTCTCTCTATGAACAGCAAGGTTTGATGGTATTCAGAAATTCCAGAGAATTAAAAAATATATGTATAGTTACATTTATTTAGATCAAAAGATATGTGGGTCCCAGAGAAGCAGGAAGCAGCATCAGAAAACAACTGACACACAGAAACACACGTGTATGCAGTACACATTCAAGCAATGCAGTTTCTTCAGCTATGGCATCAGCAATACCCACCCACCCAACACCACCCCCCAATAAAAATTGGAAAAGAAAATATCCATATAAATATATAGTCACCTGGTAACTTTTGCCCTTGAGACAGTAAAATAGAAAAGAAAAAAATCCCAGGCTAACATCAGCTTTAAGGCTGCAGTGGCCATGCTCTTCTCCCTACAGAGGCAGGGCCTGCTGTTTTGATCACTGAGGTGGGAGGGCCGCATCTTTGCCTCTCACCAACACTACAGACAGCTGTCTTTAAGACCCTAGGGTTCTTCACCAGCTCTTTTTTTTATTTCCCAGAAAGTAGTTGGGATGGGAAGAATTCATCCCTGGATTCCTCTAAGAAGCCTTCTAGGTGGCAGGTGTTTAGTGAGCCTGCAAAAATTCTGGAGCCAGTTTTAGGTGGAGCTGAGTACCAGGTGAGGTCTAGGGACCCAGGGTCTCTGCTTCAAGACTCCTGCCAGTGAAAATTATAGACCTCCAGAGATTTTAAGCTAAAAGGCAAGTGCACTGAATGCTCCTCTCCTATGGGAGATGGGGGCCTGAATCTCTAGCTACCCACCCTCACCCCCAGCCCTTCCCCCCCACATCTCCAAATAAGACACTGTCAGGGGGACAGACACACTTTGGCAATGAGGCCCCTCCGGAGGCCCAGGGTGTGAACAGCTGCACAGAGGGCTGTGTGCTGTGGAGTCAGCACCTTAGGAGGTGGGAGGGGGCAGTGAGCAGAGAAGGAAGGAGTGTCAGGTCCTGATGGGTCAGAAGAAGGAAAATGGGGAGAGGTAGTCAGGACACAGGAGACGAGAAAACCAAGGATGACCAGAAAAGGGGCAAAAAGCAGAAAATGTAGAAAAGATGAGAGAGGAAAAAGAAAGAAGCAAAACAGGGCTTGGGCCAACAAAGAAAACAAGAAGACAGAGCAGAAGGAGGGAAGGAAATGGAAAGGGAAGGAGATGAGTGGGGAAGGCTGTGAGAAGGGAGAGAAGGAACCAGGAAGAGAACATCCCGAGCTCAGTGAAGAAACTGCAGGTGAAAATAGAAATCAGGAGCCCTGGGGCCCATCCTTAGTCATTACAAAAGCCTCCAAGGCCAAGTACAGCAGGTTAGCCAAGTAAATCAGCAGGTCAGTGGATGTCAAGATGGCCACAGTCCAACATTCATCCCAGACGCACACAGAGCAGATGAGGTTTTTAATCACAGCAGCTCACATCGCTGGACCTCAGGGGCTGCCCGCCCAGCTTTTCTTCAAAGGGGTAGAATGGCCAGAGGACCAGACAGCTGGTATAGAGGAGGATGGAGAGCATGGTCTCCCTCTATAGTAAAGGATGGTACACAAATATGTGTGTTTCATTGTCATCTTTGAAAAACAGGGTGGATACGGTCCCCAGGTAGAAGCAGGTGGAGCACAGGATCATTTGTCTTACCATGGCAGAAGTATACTGGAAACAGGTGTCACAGTTGATAAGGATGCTATAAGTGAAAGCAAGAATGACACAGACCAGGAAGATCAACAGACTCCCAAGCACACCCGGACCAGTAGGCACAAAGCAGGATGTATCACCAGTCAGGGCACAGGTCCAGGCCACTTTGGTGGCATACAGCACAGAACTGATGAAGGAGAAGGCAGTGTCAGTGATGGCCTGGTTCCAGGTGGGACCCTGGAGCAAGAGCTGAACATAGTTGATGGCAAAAATGACGAGGCAGCAAAGGGTGAAATAGAAGGCATAGTGGTAGAGAAGGTCATAGCAGATCAAGGGGAAGTGGGATTGGAGGCCACACAACTCCACCATGAAGACAGTGAGGGTCGCACCGAAGCAGAAGCACCATGGGAACACAGACCAGTTAACTGTGCACTCACTCCGAGTGTCCATGCTGGCCACCAGCAAGCAGGGCACGCAGGTGGAGAGCAGCTGCCCCAAGTGGAGGAAGAAGGCCACGGCGGTGCTGGAGCCCAGGCCTGAAGAGGTTCTCATGGTGATGGTGATGGTCAGGGAGGTCGCCAGCACTGGTGTTGTAATCTTGCTTATTTTACGATAAAATCTGTGAACTACACAGCTCTGGGTTTTGATGGACTGGTTCAGTTTCACTTTGCCTGTTTTGTTGTTTCTTTGTTTTCGTTTTTCCAGGAATATACGACCACTCACCCCTAGAGCAGATGTGCTGCTTTGGACAATGTAATGACCACAAATTCAGGTTCTCTGTCCACCAAGGTGCCTTATGTTTAATGCAAAGTCTCCAAAACTAGAAGCACAACACACCTCCAGCACACAACCTACAACCATTTCCTGTTTCTCAAGTGTAAATCCCAGCTGAACCTTGCGGTGTTGGGCGTTGGTTACCACCTTCTCCCCTGGTTGCCAGCTTCCTTAAGATAAAGTTACTTTTCTTTCATCCAACACTTACCTCTCTGTATTGGCTTTTCAGCAGACTAATCAGAGCCTGGTGACAGTCAGAGCCTTTGTGCACCAGGTAGGAGTCAGGTCCCCTAGCCTCTGCCCTCTAGCTACACTTGGGTTGATGAGGGGGCTGCTGCTGGGAAGGTGGGGAGGATCTACAGGTAAGTTTTACAGCTGCTAAACTCGTTAATTTCTGGAATTTCCCTATCCCTCCCCACTCATTGTGGACAGCCTGTTTCACTTTCTGTTGAGAGAAGGAAACTGGCTTCTGGAGCAGCTGAGCTCTTGACTGAGTGAGTAGAGGGTCGTGCACCCTGGGAGCCCCCCATTCCCACCCATTTGGACATAATCTTTGCTCTATGGAACTCAGACATAAAGAATCTGCCAGCAATGCAGGAAACGAGAGTTTGATCCCCGGGTTGGGAAGATCCCCTGGAGAAAAGAATGGCAACCCACTCCAGTATTCTTACTGGAGAATCCCGTGGACAGGGGAGCCTGGCAGGCTACAGACCATGGGGTCACAAAAGAGTTGGACACGACTAAGCAACTAATACTTTCACTTTGGACACCGCAGGAGTGGGAAATGACTCGCTTGCCACTCTGTACTAGTCTCTCCCAGAGAATTAGTTTGTTCATTTGTAATCTGCTCTAGGGGAGCAAGTGATGTGAAGTGCATTGGGGGGTGGGGGTGGGGCGTCTTTATCCATCCCTTCTAGAAGCTCACTGGGATGGATCTTGACAGATTGGCAAAACCAAAGCTATAACCCTGTAACCAAGAAGAAAATGGTTTTTAAATTATAATACAGCCTGGCTCAGATATGTTTCTGATTCTGAAAAGCAGTAGTCCTGGGTAGGTCTCTAAATTACTCCCCTTTTTGCAGTTAGAACTGATTTGTCAGAGATCTGGTTAAGTGGGAGGATATGCCATATTTGAGCCTTCCTGTTACTCATAATAAGGATTTTTCCAACAAGGGCACTAAATTAATTGTACAAAAGGGAAACTAAAGTGTGAAAAGCCTGCACTCTTCACAGAGGAGTCTCTACAGGCAAAGGAGGGAGAAGAGGGGGTCAGCTTCTTAGGGAACTGAATTCACCCCGACCTCTGTGGTTCCTATCCCAATGCCCCAGGTAGAGGTTGCCCCAAGGTCTGTGCCCCCCTCCCGAGTCTCTGGAAGGAGAAGGGCTTCTAGTATGGGGCCGGGGCACACCCTTAGCATCACCACAGCATGAATAAGAAAGAGGGTCTGAAGTAGTCTCTCCATTTAAGACCTACCGGTCACTCAGCTTGGCCTCAATGTGTCCTCGCGGGTGGGTAGGGTTGGATTTCCACTAAGACAGTTCTCTGCAGGAGGACAGCTGGTTGGCTATTATTGGACTTACAGTTTTCAACCTCAGACCTACTAAACTGGACAATTGCCAATCCTCTTTACAGAGATTATCCACAAAAAATGGTGGAAACGTTTATTAGTATATTTTTCAACCCGCTGCCCACCATGGGCTGATGCACAGATGTGGGTGATGATTGTGTTCACAGCGGAGGTGCAGCACCTTGTCCCGGGCAAAGCCCAACATTCATCTCTCAGTGTTCAGCCTCTTGAGGAATGAGCAGACAAGCCTGAGTTGGCTAACACAGCTAAGGTGCCTCCAGAAGCTAAAAGAGACAAAGGGGCCTCCCCGGGGCATCAGAGATAATACAGTCCTGCTCACATCTTGGTTCAAAACGCTGACCTCCGGAACTGTGAGAGAACACATTTCTGTTGTTTCAAGCCACCAGGCTTGTGATAATTCACTGCAGTAGCCCTAGGAAATCAAGATGAATTTCCAAAAATAAAAGGTGTATTCTTTGTCATATTTTTTTTTAAGTTTTCAGAAAAGCTTGCTGACCTTCTTCCCTAGAGCATGGTGGTCACATGGATCCCAGGACTCCTTGTCATATCCTGTGTCCCCCAGTGTCTGAGACTCACAGGGAAGGGTCCACTGATCTAGAGAAGGGGGGTCAGTCCAAACGTCCACAGGAACGAGGAGGAAAGGAAATAAGTAAAGGGGATGGAGAGGACTAGGGCCCCTGGAGAGGCCCAGCTGCACCCATCTGGTGTGGTGAAAAAGCAAGATGCTGTGTGCATGATATTGTCTCACGTTTATAAAATGGAAAAAAGATACAGATAGCGCCTAAAACCATATGTGCAGGTATGTACACATGTTTCTACATATGATTTCAGAGCCTGTGAAATGTGTTGAAGGCTGTACATGAGGTTGAGGACATGATTGGAAGAGTGGATGCTCATATGAGCAGGCAGGAAGCCTAGCCATGCCTAAGAGGGAAAACCAGGACATGGGAGATGATCATAGTCCTGCTTTATATCAATTATACATGAGAAGGGACTTCCCAGATGGTGCTAGTGATAAAGAACCCATCTGCCAATACAAGAGACATAAGAGACATGGTTTCAATCCTTGGTCAGGAAGATCTCCTGGAGGAGGGCAACACACTCCAGTATTCTTTTTTTTTTTTTAATGTACCTATTACTCCAGTATTCTTGCCTAGAGAATCCCATGGACAGAGGATACTGGTGGGCTACAGTCCATAGGGTTGCAAAGACTTGGATACAGCTGAAGCAACTTAGCATGCATGCATACATGAGAAGAAGTAAACCACACAAAGATATGAATGGAAAACAACATAGAAGTCATACACAGTACAATCCACAATCCCTTTTCTCAAACCCTTTTTTCTAAGGGTCTGAAAGCACCTTATAAACAAACATATGAGTGTTTTTGCACTGAACCTTTGAACATTCACACTAAGTGAAATAAATAAAGACTCTAAATTTTCTCCTACTATCTTGTTGGGGCTTCTCCTTTGCCCTTGGACATAGGGTATCTTTTTTTGGTTGGATCCAACATTCTCCTGTCGATGGATGTTCAGCAGTGAGTTGCCAATTTTGGAGTTCTCACAGGAGAAAATGAGCGCATCCTTCCACTCCACCATATTGTTGTCGACTCCTGGAATGGCAAATTTAATTCAGATGACCATTATATTTACTACCGTGGGCAAGAATCCCTTAGAAGAAATGAAGTAGCCATCATAGTCAACAAAAGAGTCAAAAATGCCATACTTGGGTGCAATCTCAAAAATGACAGAATCATCTCTGTTTGTTTACAAGGCAAACCATTCAATATCACTAGGATCCAAGTCTATGCCCCAACCACTAATGCCAAAGAAGCTGAAGTTGAACAGTTCTATGATGACTTACAAGACCTTCTAGAGCTAACACTAAAGAAAGATGTCATTTTCATCATAGGGGACTGAAATACAAAAGTAGGAAGTCAAGAGATACCTGGAGTAACAGGCAAGTTTGGCCTTGGAGTACAAAATGAAGCAGGGCAAAGGCTAACAGAGTTTTGCCAAGAGAATGCACTGGTCATAGCAAACACCCTCTTTCCAACAACACAAGAGACAACTCTACACATGGACATCACCAGATGGTCGATACAGAAATCAGACGGATTATATTGTTTGTAGCCAAAGATGGAGAAGGCCTATACACAGTCAGCAAAAATTAGACTGGGAGCTAATTTTGGTTCAGATCATGAACTCCTTTTTGCCAAATTCAGACTTAAATTGAAGAATGTAGGGAAAACCACTAGACCATTCAGATATGACCTAAATAAAAACCCTTATGATTATACAGTGGAAGTGACAAATAGATTCAAGGGATTAGGTCTGATAGACACAGTGCCTGATAAACTATGGACAGAAGTTCATGACATTGTACAGGAGGTAATGATCAAGACCATCCCTAAGAAAAAGAAAAGGAAAAAGGCAAAATGATTGTCTGAGGCGGCCTTACAAATAGCTGAGAAAAGAAGAGAAGCTAAAGGCAAAGGAGAAAAGGAAAGATATATCCATCTGAATGCAGAATTTCAAAGAATAGCAAAGAGAGATAAGAAAGCCGTCTTCAGTGGTCAGTGCAAAGAAATAGAGGAAAACAATAGAATGGGAAAGACTAGGGATCTCTTCAAGAATATTAGAGATACCAAGGGAACTTTTCATGCAAAGACGGGCACAATAAAGGACAGAAATGTATGGACCTAACAAAAACAAGGTATTAAGAAAAGGTGGCAAGAATACAGAGAAGAACTATACAATAAAAGAACTTAATGACCCAGATAACCATGATGGTGTGATCACTCACCTAAAGCCAGACACCCTGGAGTCTGTAGTCAAGTGGGACTTAGGAAGCATCACTACAAACAAAGCAAGTGGAGGTGATAGAATTCCAGCTGAGCTATTTCAAGTCCTAAAAGGTGATGCTGTTAAAGTACTGCAGTCAATATGCCAGCAAATTTGGAAAACTCAAAAGTGGCCACAGGACTGGAAAAGGTCAGTTTTCTTTCCAATCCCAAAGAAAGGAAATGCCAAAGTATGTTTATACTACCATACAATTGCACGCATCTCACACGCTAGCAAAGTAATGCTCCAAATTCTCCAAGCCAGGCTTCAACAGTATGCAAACTGAGAACTTTCAGATATTCAAGCTGGATTTAGAAAAGGCAGAGAAACCACTCTGGTGGTTTCAAATTGCCAACATCTGTTGGATCATCAAAAAAGCAAAAGAGTTACAGAAAAACATCTGCTTTATTGACTATGCCAAAGCCTTTGACTGTGTGGATCACAACAAACTGTGGAAAATTCTGAAAGAGATGGGAATACCAGACCACCTTACCTGCCTCCTGAGAAATCTGTATGCAGGTCAAAAAGGAACTGTTAGAACCAGACATGGAAGAATGAACTGGTTCCAAATTGAGAAAGGAGTATGTCAAGGCTGTATATTATTTAACTTATATGCTGAGCACATCATGCGGAATGCTAGGCTGGATGAAACACAAGGTGGAATCAAGATTGCCAGGAGAAATATCAATAACCTCAGATAGTCAGATGACATCACCCTTATGGCAGAAAATGAAGAGGAACTGAAGTGCCTCTTGATGAATGTAAAAGAAGAGAGTGAAAGAAGTTGGCTTAAAACTCAACATTCAGAAAACTAAGATCATGGAATCTGGTCTCATCACTTCATGGAAAATAGATGGGGAAACAATGGAAACAGTGACAGACTATATTTTCTTGGGCTCCAAAATCACTGCAGATGGTGACTGCAGCCATGAATTTAAAAGCCACTTTCTCCTTGGAAGAAAAGCTATGACAAACCTAGATGGCATATTCAAAAGCAGATACATCACTTTGCTGACAAAGGTCCATATGGTCAAAGCTATGGTTTTTCCAGTAGTCATGTATGAATGTGAGAGTTGGACTATAAAGAAAGCTGAGCACCAAAGAATTGATGTTTTTGAACTGTGGTGTTGGAGAAGACTCTTGAGTGTCCCTTGGACCGCAAGGAGATCAAACCAGTCAGTCTTAAAGGAAATCAGTCCTGAATATTCATTGGAAGGACTGATGCTGAAGCTGAAACTCCAATACTTTGGCCACCTGATGCGAAGAACTGACTCATTTGAAAAGACTCTGATGCTGGGAAAGATTGAAGGCAGGAGGAGAAGGGGACAACAGAGGATGAGATGGTTGGATGGCATCACAGACTCGATGGCCATAAGTTTAAGTAAGCTCTGGGAGTCAGTGATGGACAGGGAGGCCTGGCATGCTGCAGTCCATGGGGTTGCAAAGAGTCAGACACGACTGAGCAACTGAATTGAACTGAACTGATAAATTTTCTCATGTCTGTTCAGGTCAGATTCTCTAGCCAAAAGAATTCATAAAAGTTCTTTTCTTTTTGGAGCCTTGAAATGTTGGAATTGTAGATAAGGGCCATATTCCACTGGGTCTCCAAAAATAATGGCACACAGCCAAAGAGATAAGAAGTCTTTACGGCTTGAGGCAAAACCAACCAGGCTGTTAGGTTTGGAATGGAATAGTCTTGTTACAAGGTCAAGGGTGATGGGTGGGGAATATAATTCTGGAGCAGCAGTGCTGTTGCCCAAGTGACTGAGTTATTGGTTCTAACTCCACAGATCCTGAGCCTCAGCAGTCACAGGCCCCTGAGACTTTTCCAAGCATCTAACTTAATCCGCCTCCAGGGTGTGCATGTTGGCTGGTGGGTCCTCAGTGAAGACCACTGCCATATTGGTAACAGTGACCTGCCTGACTGTCACAACACCATGTCCACCGGTAGGACATCTCCAGACAAGTGTGGCTTGTACATAGTGTTCAGCTGCCTCCGCGTGCCACAGCTGGTCTGCATCATCTCCGCCTTCTTCCTGGTGCTCGACAAGGGGATTCGGTGGGGGGACATAAGTAATCGGATCATGTTCAGCTGGTGCTTCTGTATCATCGGTACCCTCACCATCGTCATACTGGAATTATATAGGTTCCCGACCGACTTTCCTTTCTGCTGGTACAACTTCTGCATCACCTATGCCTGCTATGCTGCCCTCACCTGCCTCTCGGCCGCCATCTTCTACCCCATCACCTACATCAAGTTCTTGCCTTATGATGCCAGCCGAAACCGGGCCATTGCCGCCACTGTGTTCTCCTGCATTGCATGTGTGGTTTATGTCATGGAAGTGGCCTGCCTATGGGAATGCTACAAGCTCAAGGAGATCCCCTGCCACGTGCACACCATGCCAGGCCTGCTGAAGGTGCTGGAGACCTTCGTGGCCTGTGTTATCTTTGTTTTCATCAGCAACACCTCCCTGTACACGGACCAGCCAGCCCTGGAGTGGTGCGTGGCCGTGTACTCCATCTGCTTCATCCTGGCAGTTGTGGCCATGCTGATGGACCGGGATGAATGGGAGAGCAGGCTGCCCGTCTCCTTTCCCATTTTTCATCTGGGACTGACCTTGCTGTCTATCCTCCTCCACTTCACTGCTCTGGTCCTCTGGCTGCTCTCCCACTTTGATGAGAAGTATGGTGGGCAGCCCCAGCAGTCCAGTGATGTGAACTGCATTGATAGAACTACCAACGGCATGTGCACCTGGGACCAGTGCCTGGCTGTGGCCATCCTGACAGCCATCAACCTGCTGATTTACATGGCCGACCTGGGGTACTGGGCCCACCAGGTTTCTGTAGGGGCTGGGGGTCAACCCACAGACTCCTGATCCTCTCTGCTCACAGGAGATCTCTACTGAGCTCTGACATCCTCTGGTGCCCTCTTCCTGGCTCCGTCTCTCCCTCCTCACATCCTTCCCCATTCATCTCACTCTTTTCTGTTTCCTTCCCTCCTTCTGCTCTGTCTCCTTCCTGTCTTATGTGATAGCCCCCATTCTCTTTCGCCTCTTTCTCTTGCTTTGCTCATCTTTTCTACATTTTCTGCCTTTACCCCCATTCTGAGTGTCTTTGTTTTCTCACCTTCTGTCCTGACCACCTCTTCCCATCTTCCTTCTTCTGATCCGTCAGGACCTGAGACTCGTTCCTCCTCTGCCCACCGCCCCCTCCCACCTCCTAAGGTGCTGACTCCATGTCACACAGCCCTCTGTGCAGCTGTTCACACCCTGGGCCTCCGGAGGGGCCTCATTGCCAAAGGCTGTTTGTCTCCCTGGGGTGCCTTAGCTGGTAATTGTCTGTGTGATTTTTGGAGGGTGAAGGTGGGTGGTAAGTCACTGAACACTCTCTCCCAGTGGAGCGTTGGAGTCTCTGGAGGTCAGTAATTCCCAGTTGGCAGGAGATTTAAAGCACAGACCCTGGGCCCTGGGGCCCCACCTGGTGCTCAGCCCTACCTGAGACTAGCTCCAGAATTTTTGCAGGCTCACTAAACACCCACTCCCTAGAGGGCATCTTAGAGGAAGCCAGGGGTCAATACCTTCCATCCCAACTATGCTCTGGGGAATCACCAAAGGAGCTGCCGAAGAACCCTAGGGTTGTGTTGGTGAGGGACAGTGATGTGGCCCTCCTGCCTCAGTGATCAAAACTGCAGTCCTGCGTCTGCAGGGAGAAGAGCATGGCCCTTGCCAGCCTTAAAGTGATGGTAGCCCGCTTTGTTTTTTTTTCTGTCCTCTTCTTTTTTCTGATTGGGAAGGCAAAAATTACTGGGTGACCCTGTTCTTAAAGGGGAAGCTTCTTTTCAAATTTTCTTGGACAGGTTGTTTGGAGGGGGAGGGAGTTGCTGTTCCCATTGTCAAAATAACAGTATTGCTGAGTGTGCAGTGACACACAGTTCTTTTTTTTTATATAAAGAGGTTTTTTAAAATTATTTATTGATTGAGTTTTAGCTGTGCTGAGACTTCACTGTTGTGAGTGGGCTTTCTCTAGTTGCAGAGCACTGACCATAGTGCACAGAGGTTTCAGTAGTTGTGGCACATGGGTTTAGTCACTCTGCTGCATGTGGGATATTACCAGACCGGGGACTGAATCCATGTGCCCTGCGCTGGCAGGTGTACTCCATCCACTGCGCAACCAGGGAAGTCCACATGTGTGTTTCTGTGTGCTGGTTGCTTTCTGCTGCTGCTTCCTGATTCTCTGGGACTCAGGCATAATGCGATCTATAAAATGCATACAATTTTTTTTTTTTTATTCCCAGAGCTTTTGGTTCCCATCAGCCCCTGCTGTTAATCATTGAGAATAGCATTGTCCCTTCTTCCACATTCATAAAGTAGCTTTTTAATCTCATTATAAAAGTGAAAGAAAAAGACAAAGACAAAAAACTCCAGAACCAAATCCACATACTCTAATTACACCCAATTTGTCTAGAGCTCAGAAGGTCCTCAGAAGGTCCAATTCCCACCCTCACCAAAGCTAGGTCTCTGGGAGCTCCTCCCACTGACTCCCATCCACAACTGGACCAGAGCCTGGGGGTGTGGCCCAGCCTGTGACACAAGAGATTGGGCTCCACCCCAGTGCCAGCATCTTTTCCTCTAACTCTTAAAGGGGCCATGAGGGCACTTGGATGCCTCTCCAGAAAGATGTGTGCCTGTGTGTATGCTCAGTGCAGGTATGTGTGTGGATATGTGTGACCATGTGCTTCCCTGCATGGAGACCACAGCCCTTTACAGTAACTGATGGCTGTGAAGGCCCCTCAATCTCCTGTCCTCAACCACAAAGCCTCGAGCCCAGCATCCTAGAGTCACCAGGACCAGAGGAGCCAGGCAAGCAGAGCTGTGGGGGAGGGGAGGGGGAGGACCCCCTCTGCTGACCCTCACTCCTGTACTGGGATGAAGCGTGTGATCTTCACCCGGAGGCAGGTGGGGTGGAGGGGGAGGGCTCCCAGGAGGCCATCCACATCACAGGGAAATCTTAAGAAGGACTGAAATAAAATTTTTATTTTAGAGCAAGATAAGAAAAATTTAAAGATAAAAATTTTCTCTTTTTTGGCCTCTTCCCTCCATTCTAGTACACTTTGTGCATCTGTATTACGTGTTAACCAGCCCTCATCAAGGGCAGAAATACCTACTCAAACATAAAGATGAGTTTCTCTGGTACACACATGTAACTCCTTAGAAGGCAACACTACTTACTTATTTAGGACCTTATTAATGTCACTAGCTATGTTACTTTATTCTACCTATTTTACAAGACTCTTGTTTCTTGAATTAACAAATGAGTGATTGAGCCTATAATAAACAATCATGATGACCAAGTGACTTGAAACGATTGATTTGATGTAAAATTCTATAAGATCCATGACTGTAATAGTGTGACTCTGGATACGGAAGGGAAAGAGGCAACAGGAGGAAGCCGTTTCCTGGAGCTGACAGACTAGTAAGGCAGGTGGTCCAGAGGATTTGGCTACTGTTACCAGGACTGGGTGAGTAACAGTACATTCAGTGGCCTAACAACAAAATCCTGGATTGATTTTGGAATGCGCATTCCTAGAACCCTGGGAAAACTGGCCAAAAAAGCCTCCCAAACCTTGTTTGAAATTAAGATCAAAAGGAAGGGGATTGTGCAGTAAAGAATGTCGCCCACCACCCAGTTGTACAAGAATCAAGTCATTAGCCACTGCAGTCACTGACCTACTGTCGATCCTGGAAGGAATTCAGGGGGGAAACTCAGGATGAGGCATTTTGTGCTCTGGGAGAACCTGCCCTCAGATAGAGATAGTTTTTTAGGAGAAATTTTTAAGAACTCTGTTTTTGCATCTTCTCATACTTAGAAAAGCATGAAAGCCATTAGCTAAAGTATTTTTCCCTGGGAAGAGCAGTAAGCCTCTACCAAGCTGTGTGCTTGTTTGCATGTTCCCCTTCCCCCAAATCACATACATACTAGTCTCCTGCCTTATGTCTTCAGAATAGTTCTCATAGTTTCCTGGAAAACTGGGACCCGGGTTATAGTTGTCAGGTTGGCTTGAATAAAGTTTTCAGTTTCTTTCTTAGATTGACTAGTGATTAATTTTTTTTTCATTGAGAAAAACAAGTATGCATTTACCCCTGTAAGTCTAGGTACAGGATTTTCATATTCTTCTATTTTCCTAAATCAAATTGAAAACAACCCTGGGACCTCACTTCCCAGGAAGATGAAGGTGCCTCTCTGCTTTAGTAAAAGAATTGCCCAGGGTGGGCTCACCTGAGGGGCTCACTGTCCAAGCCTCATGGTTCATAAGGGCAGCTGCTCCATCCCCCCTACTGGGGGGTTAAGTGTCATTTGTCACAATTCCAAGGCTGGCCCAGTCCTCTCACTGTGGAGCTCAAAAGAGAGTGTAAAGGCCCTCTGCTTAGTCCAACCCTCTTGTCATAGAGGAGGAGCAGCTGGACCCCAGGGAGGGGCAGGACTTGTCCAGAGTCACCCTGTGTGTGGCAGAGTCGGAGTCAGGACCCAAGTGTCTTGTCCCCAAGCTGGCTGTCTGTCGACGGCCCCACGCTGCTTGTGATAAGTGTGGCAGCAGCATCCTCCAGGCTGGGACTCTGCCCCTTCCACCCTCGTTCTGCAGAAACCTGCCCCATCCCCCCAAGGAGGGCACTCACTGCTGCTGAGTCAGTTTCCTCATCTGCTAGATGGGGGAGGGGTGCCAGAGACCCCTGGTCCCTCCCAGCCCCCCTCTTCCCGGGGCCCCTGGACTTGCCAGTCCTGGAGACTCAGATGTGGAGATGGAAGCCCCTGTGCCTGCCCCACGACCGTGCTTCCTCCTCTGAGAGCTGGCTGTGCAGGAGGCATGCAGCTCGAGACGGGGCTGGTGCCACGACACATGCCACCCTCTGGGTCCTGATGCTCGCTCACCTCAGCACCTACCTGGGAAGCAAGGAGGCATTTTCCCTCCCCTGGGGACATCCAAACCCCAGAGCCAAAGCTGGAGGTTGAGTTAGAGATTTCCTTCGGGAAAGGTTTTACTTTGGGAATCCTGGTGCCTCTCCTTTCGAGGAAGCCTGAAGCCCTGGAAGGAACGAGGGGCTAGGAGTCAGGGAGCCTGGGGTCAGCCTCCAGGCCAGGCCGCAGCACTGCCCTGGCTGCCCTGAGCCTCAGCTCAGTGGCTGTGTGAGGGCATCTAAGGCTCCTTAGAGACACCCCCTACCCATGTTAAAGACGCAGCCCCTCACACCTCCTGCCAGAATGTCCCTCAGGCTGGTTCTACCTGCAAGTCAGCCTTGGGGAGAGAAGACTCCGTGAGAGGGTAACAGGCAGGAAGGCCAGGGGTCTCCAAATGGAGGACATGGGCTGCAAGTGTCAGACATTTTTTATCTCTCTCTTAAGTGGCAGGAGGAAACAAACTAGTGTTATTTTTTTTTCCCTTCTCATACCAATTTAAAAGGAGGTTTCTCTTAAAATACTGTGTTGCCATAATGACAGCAGGTTCCACCTAAAGTTAACTATTCTGAAACCTTGAGTTAACCAACGCATTTTTCTTACGGAAATGTTTGTCTTAAGCTATGTTAATACATTATGCATTTACCCCAGACTCTGTCTTCAGGTCAGTTCGCCTAATGGCTCACAACGACTTGACAAACCATTGTGTTATACTCAGACATTGTTCCCCTAATCTATGTAAACTAAACTATTTGTATGGTAATCTGCCTTTCTACAAGACTCAAGTCAATTGTTTTATGGCCCTGTCTGACTTGTCTGGTGCCAAGATTATCCCCAAATACATCTTATGGATGAGGGGCCTGGTACCATTCTCTCAGTTTTAAGGCATTTCTTTCTTTCATTAACAGGCTTCTAGTGGCTATAT